GTACATTGTCAGCATTATTGTCAGTCAAGACTTTTTGGAAACTTTCTATTAAAGCGGGAGGGTCGTCCCAATCTATTTACTTATTGACTCTTACACAATCCCCGGAGGGAAAGAAAATGGTTACAAAGTACAAGGAGAAATATATATATAAAAAAAAAAAAAAAAAAACAATATACTAAATAACAAATACAATCACTAAATTACTAAATAATACAAAATCTCGAAATTACTAACTAATATAAAAATACTAAATTGACAGCAGGCATTGAGATGTCAAGTAAAGTAAGACCCTGCTTCCTGACTTTGAAGCTTTTACTTATGAACTGTGCTACTGGTATAATAACGTTTTCATTCTGTAACAATTCCATGAATTTTTTTCTGCAGGTTTATTTTCAAATGCTGGGATCATATCTTTAGCTTTATTGAACAGTTTGGTACGCAACTCATTATATTTGTTGCATTCCAGCAGAAAATGCATTTATTTCATCCTCAATTAGACCTTTGTTACACATTATTTTTTTGAATAGACCATCATGCCAGAAACTGTCAAAGGCCTTTCTAAGGTCAATAAAACAGGCATATAATTTTCTGACTCTCTGACTTACCACTGTAGAGATATTTATTTATTTATTTAGTATGAAAAAATTGTCTGTAGTTTGACAATCATGCCTGAATCCGAACTGTTGACCGGAAAGAATGTTATTAGAGTGTAAAAATGATGTCACCCTAATATTTAGAATACTATTGAATAACTTGCCAAGACAGCTAGAGATGGCAATTCCCCTGTAGTTGGCCGGGTTATTTTTCGACCCAGAGTTGTGGATTGGTACCAACAGGCCAGTGCTCCAAGAATGTGGATAGTTATTTGAACTATAATCTATAATTTGAACTATAGTCCCAATCGACGATAGCAATACACGCTAAGAACGCAAATACTCATGGGAAAACGCTTGTTTGTAAACAATAAAACGCTATGGCCACGCTTACATAGGTGACGACACTCCCGCTTTAATCTTTTTAAGTCAATATCCTATTATACTAACAACATTTTACTAACGAAGAAAAAAAAGCAAAGAAGCTAATGATAAACGAAGAAAAAACGAAGAAAAAAAAGATAAACGAAGAAAAAAAAGCAAGGACGTTAATGATAAACGAACCAAAGAAAAATCTGCGACTCAGTGACGAACGTCATGACCAACCTCGCGAGTAGTTCGACAGGGAGCTTGAACTATCCGCATCCACGCAAAACATTTTCAACTGATTAAGAGATGACGACACCGATACATCTGACGAGAAAGCTAGTACAGGAAATAATGTTGCTTATGATATCCGCCAAACAAAACAAAGCCACAGTTTCCGTATACACAGGGACGTTC